TATAATAATTATATATTATATATATATATATTCTTATATATATATATATATATATATATATATGTTTATAAATCTATAATAAAGCTTTTTAAATCATTTAGTCCACATCCAAAATTGATTTTAAATGAAGACGATCAATACATTTGGGAGCAAATTATCTATATTGGAGGGTATATCTGTTCAAATACTTTTTAAAAGTTCATATTTTCAAAACTAAACCATTAGTTTAGGCATTTTCTTAATTAAATAGATTAAAATTATATTATGTCAGATGATACATAACATTTATTTTATGATTTATAATGTGTAGAACTTATCATTAACCTATACTTCTCAAAGAACATCTGTCAAAAATCTGTCAAAAGTGTGTATTGAAAATGTTAAAAAATGCAATATTATGAAAGATAAAAAAATTATATTAGATTTAATGTTGATAACGACATGGATATTTCTTATTTATAAACTTATATATTTAGGTTTTACAATATTTTCGTATAGCAAGTTGCAATATCTTTATTCGTATAGCATAAATATTTCTAACACACACATGTATACAAACCAGAGTTGGGAAAGTCACCTTGTAAAAGTAATCAATTAAAGTTATAGGTTTTCCTTTCAAAAAATAATTACCATTACAAGTTACTGATTTTAAAAAATAACATGTTATAGTTATAGTTACTTAAAAAGTAATGAGTCGTCACTCTTTAATTACTTCTCTGTTAACTTCCTGTAATGTTTTGTGCATTGCTTTTCAAATATAAAAATCTTATATTTCTAATATATTTCTTATAATATATTTCTAAGGACTGATTGCAACGACATTAAGCGAGACTTAAAACTTTAAATTTATACCAAAGCAAAAGTGCAACATTACTAAATAGTATTTTATCTATTGGAAAAGGTTCGTAGTTAAGATGGTATCAGACTAGAGATTGAGATTGAGATTAGATTGAAATTAACCAATTAGAAAAAAGAAAACCAATCTCAAGATTAATAAAGTTTGTTCGGATTGTCAAGTTTCAATCTAATCTTAATCTCTAGTCTGATACCGGCTTTAGAATGTTTATATAAGGTATTTATATAAGGCATTTTTATTATTTACAAATATAAGATATATGAGTTGCTTTCTATATTTGAACTCTTCAATCATATTCTTATCGCTAATATCATTTCTGGTTGTTATATTTTATGTTACATTATATTAGACTTTATCTTAAAATCTGTTTAATTATTTTTACACTCATCAAAGATTTAAACAATTTATTATACTAAATATTTGATTATATATTATTTTATATATAATAAGTCACAATTATTTTAAGAACATAAAGC